TTCTTTACCGGCTGCCGCCAAAGCCACAAACTCAGACTCCATTGTAGAGTTAGTTATGCAAGTTTGTTTCTTTGATGCCCAACCAATTGCTCCTCCACCGAGAAGGAATATCCATCCACTCGTGGAAGAGTGATCTTCCATATTAGTTATCCAACTTGCATCCGAGTATCCTTCCAAAACTGAAGGAAAGTCGGTGTAAGTTAATCCATAATTCATGGTTCTCTTTAAGTATTTAAATACTCGGTTAATCGCTTGCCAGTGATGCGAACTAGGATTGCTAGTATACCTACTAAGTTTCCCAACCGCATATGCTATGTCTGACCTAGTACTAATCATAGCATACATCAAACATCCAATAGCTCGTGAGTATTCTAGTTGAGATACTGCAACACCTTTATTAGGGAAGAGCTTTAGACTTGAATCAATAGGAGTACTGACCGGAGAACAATCTTTGAAGTTAAACTTCTTCAAAATCTTCTCAATATAATGTGATTGAGAAATAGAAATTTCATTATTCTTACGCTTGATCCTTAAACCAAGAATCATTTCAGCCTCCCCCATGTCTTTCATGGCAAACCTAGATGACAAAAATTCCTTGGTGTTATCAACTTGATTTTGATTAGTACCAAAAATTAACATGTCATCTACATATAAACAAATTATAACTCCTTGTCCAGAAGCATCAAATCTGTTATATACACACTTGTTTGCTTGGTTTAATTCAAAACCATTCGACAAAACAACGTCATCAAATTTTTGATGCCATTGTTTTGGTGCTTACTTTAGACCATAAAGAGATTTCACCAACTTACAAACCTTATTTTCATTCCCATGCATGACAAAACCTTCAGGTTGTTTCATATATATCTCTTCATCCAACTCACCATTCAAGAATGCAGTTTTTACATCCATTTGGTGAATTACTAAATTGTGTATAGCCGCAAGGGCTAATAACAATCTAATTGTAGAAATTCTAACAACAGGTGCATAGGTATCAAAGAAATCAATGCCTTCTTTTTGTCTAAAGCCTTGGATGACCAATCTCGGTTTGAACTTATCTATGCTTTCATCAACCTTCATTTTCTTTTTGAAGATCCATTTACATCCTAGAGGTTTGCACCCGGGAGGTAAATCAGTCAATTTCCATGTATTGTTTGCATAATAGAGTCAATTTCATCTTGAATTGCTTCCTTCCAAAATGCAACATCCATTGAAGCCATAGCTTCATTAAATGTCTTAGGATCTTCCTAAATATTGAAACAATATTGATATTGAAATTCAATCTCATCTCTTGTTCCTTCCATCAAGTAGAGTTGAAAATCATCACCAAAAGATTTTGGTTTTCTTGTTCTTGTACTTTTCCTTACTTCAACATTTATGGAAGGCACAGTTTGAGAGACCTTTGAAGTAGGGGTCATATCCTTTGGTCTGGATATAGAAGTAAATCTTTCATCATCAAAAATCGCATCTCTTGACTCTATAACTGTGTTTACAGATACAAAGTCATTAGGTTCTATAACATAGAACCTATATGCCTTGGAATGTATAGCATATCCAATGAAGATGCAATCTATGCCTTTTTCACCCAAAGTTTTCCTCTTTGGTTCCGTAAGTCTAACAACGGCACTACACCCCCAAACTTTAAGATAACTTAAGTTTGGTGGTTTTTTGTACCAGAGTTCATATGGGGTTGTTTTCATCTTTTTATTAGGAACTCTATTCAACAGGTAACATGCCGTTAACATAGCCTCACCCCAAAATCCTTCGCTTAAGCCCGAATAGGATAACATGGAATTGACCATTTCTTTTAAAGTCCTATTCTTCCTTTCTGCAACACCATTTTGTTGTGGTGTATAAGGGGCAGTTGTTTGATGTATTATACCAGTACTTTGAAAATATACTGGATCATAATACTCGCCTCCCCTATCCGTTCGAAGAATTTTAATTACTTTGGTGTAACTCTACCTCTTGCTTATAAATTTTAAATTTATCAAGGGATTCTTCTTTTGCATGTAACAAATAAACAAAGCAAAATCTGGATGCATCATCTATGAAAGTGACTACATATTTTTTATTTCCAAAAGAAGGGGTACTATGTAAGTCACATAAATCACTATGAATAAGATCCAAAATTTTACTTTCCCTACAAACTTCTTTGAATGGTTGTCTCGTTATCTTAGTGAGCATACAAGTTTTACACTTCTCAATGTTCAAATCAAACGCAGGTATTAAACTCATTTTAGACATATCTTTTAATCTCTTGTAATGAACATGTCCTAGTCTAGCATGCCACAATTCAGATTTATTTGAAATAATGCTAGAACTAGTAGAAGCCATACATATAGATTCATTGAGATAAGATATATCTAAATTTAACTTGAACATACCATTCAAATATCCAAATCCAATAAACGAACCATGTTTAGATAATACATATTTATCGGACTCTATGACTTGTTTATAACCACA